TACGTGAATGGATTAAGGGAAAAAACCCATCTTTTTGTTGTCTGCAAGAAACCCATCTCACTTTCAAGGACAGATACTATCTTAAAGTGAAAGGACGGGAAAAAAATATACTACGCAAATGGTACTAAGAAAAAAGCAGGCATAGCAATTCTGATATCTGACAACAGAGATTTTAAACTAAAACTAATCAGAAGAGGTAAAGAGGGCCACTTCATTCTGATCAGAGGAACAATAAATCAAGAAGACATTACAATCATGAACATATATTCACCAAACTCTGCTGTACCCAACTTCATAAAAACAATATTAAAGGACTTTAAAAACAGATTAATCCCAGCTCATTAATAGTAGGGGACTTCAATACCCCACTGTCTCCATTAGATAGGTTAACAGGGCAGAGAGTTAACAGAGAGACATCTGAATTAAAAAATACCATATATCAAATGGACTTAACAGACATCTACCAAGTATTTCACCCAAGCACCAAAGGACATACTTTCTACTAAGCAGCCCATGAAACCTTCTCCAAAATCAACCATATACAGGGGCACAAAACAAACCTCAACAAATACAAAAAGATTGAAATAATTCCATGCATTCTATCAGACCACAATGCAATAAAGCTTACAATCAACACTGGAAGAAGCCCTAACCACTACATGAAAACATGAAGATTAAACAAAATACTCTGGAATGAGGAATGGGTCAAAAGAGAAATTAAGAAAGAAATAAAAGCATCCTGGAACTAAATGAAAAGGACAATACAACAAAACAAAACCTCTGGGACATGCTGAGAGCGGTCCTTAGAGGGAAGTTTATAGCCCTAAGTGCCTACATCAAAAAATCGGAAAGAACACAAATAACTGACAACGTTGCAACTCACACACTTGAAAAGCACCAGCAAAGGAAACCCAAACACAGCAGACAAGAAGAAATAACAAAAATCAGGGCAGAAATTAATGAAATAGAAACAAAGAAAACAATACAAAGAATCAACGAATCCAAGAGCTGGTTCTGTGAAAAGATAAACAAGATTGATAGAGTGCTAGCCCAGTTAACCAAAAGAAAGAAAGAGCACCTCCAAATCGACAAAATCAGAGATGAAAGGGGAAACATCACAACAGACACCAGAAAGATACAGAACATTATAAGGGAATACTTTAAAAACCTGGATGCTACTAAATTTGAAAGCCTAAAAGAAATGGACAGATATCAAAGGGCATGGGAACCACCAAAACTAAACCAAGAAGAGATTAACAGCATAAACAGACCCATAACACAAAAAAAA